TTGCCTTTTTATTCACTCTTAAACAGTCTCTGACTTTTTAACTGGAGTGTTGAGACCATAAACATTTATTTTTTTATTTTTATTTTTTTTTAACATTTAACATTTTTAACATTTATTGAGGATTCTTGCCCAAATCTGGAGACCATAAACATTTAAATTAATTATTGATATGGTTGGATTTAGGTCTGCCATTTTTATTACGTGTCTTTGTACCCTGCTTTTTGTTCCTTATACCTTCTTTTGGATTATTTGAATATTTGGTGTCTGATTTTAGTTTACTGATTTTGACTCTTTCTCTTTTCTCTTTCTCTTGTGTGTAGTGGTTGCTCTAGGAAGTATAATATACATACCTATTGTTTCATAGGGTTGAGTTAATATACTACCACTTTGCTTAAATGTAGAAGCTTTACAACCATATAGATTGTTTAAGCCCTGCCTGCTGACCAATAAGTTATAGCTGTCATAAGTATTACATTTACATATGTTGAAAACTCTACCAGAGAATGTTAAAAATTTTTTTTAAACAGGGTTTTCTGTTGTTGTCATTGTTAACGTATTTACCCAGCTATTTACCATTTCTTTTGCACTTCGTGCTTAAAAATCCAGATTTCTCTCTGGTATCTTTTTCCTTCATCATATCTGGAATAATTTCCATTAACATTTCTCATAGAGCAGGTCTGCTAACAACAAATTTTCGTTTTCTCTTTTTCTTGTGAAAAGTATATCTAAGCTTTATTTTCACTGAGTATAGAAATTTGGTTTGCCAAATCATTTTTCTTAGGATTTTATTTTATTTTATTTTATTTTTTTAAATTTTTATTTATTTATGATAGTCACACACACACACACACACAGAGAGAGAGAGAGAGAGAGAGAGAGGCAGAGACACAGGCAGAGGGAGAAGCAGGCTCCATGCACCGGGAGCCCGATGTGGGATTCAATCCCGGGTCTCCAGGATCGCGCCCTGGGCCAAAGGCAGGCGCTAAACCGCTGCGCCACCCAGGGATCCGTTTTCTTAGGATTTTAAAGATGTTATACTATCTTCTGTTCTCCTTGGTTTCTGTTGAGAATTCTGTGATCAAACCATTGTTTTCTATATGTAATACGTCATTTAAAAAAATATTTTCTTCATTATTTGAGAGAGAGAGACAGAGATAGCAAGAGAGAACATGAGCAGGGAGAACAAGGATAAGCAGGCTCTCTGCTCAATGTGGGGCTCGATCCCAGTGTCTGAGTCTAAGGAGACTCTTTAACCAAGTGAACCACCCAGGTGCCCCTGTAATATGTCATTTTTAAAGCTGCTTTCTAGATTTTTATTTCTTTGGGTCTGAACAGTTTCTTTTTCTTTCTTTCTTTCTTTCTTTCTTTCTTTTCTTTCTTTCTTTCTTTCTTTCTTTCTTTCGTATTTATTTATTCATGAGAGACGAGGAAAGAGAGGCAGAGACACAGGCAGAGAGAGAACCAGGCTCCCTGCAAGGAGCCCGTAGTGGGACTCCACCCTGGATCATGCCCTGAGCCAAAGGCAGACACTCAACCACTGAGCCACCCAGGCATCCCGGTTTTGAACATTTTCATTAAGATGTGTCTAGGTGTGTTTTTCTTTGAGTTTATCCTATTGAGTATTTGTTGAGCTCCTAGAATCTGTAAATTTATGTCTCATTAATTTCGGTGATTTTCTACCATAAATTTTTCAAATGTATTTTTGTGCCACAGTCTCTTTTTCCTTTCCTTCTGGGATTGTGGCTACACTTAAGTTAGACCTTTTGGTATTGACCCACAGGTTGTTGGGGCTCTGTTTACTCTTTTTCAACCTTTTTCCTCTTTGTTTTTCAGATTGGATAATTTGTCTTTAAGTTCTTTCCTTTGTCATCTCCATTCTATTATTGAGCCCATTCTGGTTTTATTTCAAACATTGTATTTTTCAGTTCTAAAATTTCAATTAGTAGTTTTCCTGGGTGGTTAAGTATCTACTTTCAGCTTAGGTCTTGATTCTAAGGTCCTTGGATCGAGCTCCACATCAGGCTCTCTGCTGAGAGAGAGTTTCTCCCTCTCCTGCTGCCTGCTGCTCTCCCTGCTTGTACATGTGGTCTCTCTTTCTCTGTCAAATAAATAAATAAAATATATTTAAAAATTCAATTAGTTCTTTCTTATGGTTTTTATTTTTCTCAGAATTTCTACCTTGTCCTTCATTTCAAGTGTGTATTCCTGTATTGCATGGGTCATAGTTATAATTGTTGCCCTAAATTTTTTATACTTCTGGCATCTGGATCATCTTGGGGTTGACATTTGTTCATTACCTATTCCTTTCAGAATTATGCACATTTTCCCATTTTTTGTGTATTACATCATTATGAATTTATTCCTAAGATAGTGCATGTTATTTGTATAGACTTTGGGTCTTCTTATAATTTTCTGGGGGATTGGCTAATTGAATTCAAATAAATCAAAAAGAATCTTCTGGGCGATCATTGCTGTTTTTCTTTTAGCAAGTAACCTGTTCACTGTTCAGACCATAGTTCTGTCTTGCTTTCTGAGGGTATTGGTTCAGTCTTAGTTTCATTCTTTGAGTCTTTGCTATGTTGGTTTACCTCTGCTTAAATTGCTTAGGGGTTCGTCTGAGACTTTTTCAGGTATTTCAAGTCTTGTTTCATTTCTCCAAGCTTTTGATACATTGGTTTGGGTCTGTCTTTTACTAGCAGCTCTCTCAGGTTAATCTGGTGTGCAGCTTGTTCACATCTTATTTCATTTTTCAAAGCCTTTGCTAAGCTGGTTTGGGTATGCTCCACACATATGAGATTTGGAATTAAGCCATGATTTGTATAGATTCATACAGAGAATTATGGGATCATCCTCCTTGTCTGTCTCTTCTCCACAGTTCTCTTACACAGTTTTGTCCATGGAGATCCCTTTTCCAGGTTTCTCTTGCCAGAAAGATAGAGTTTCTAGAGTTTCTATTAGAATTTAGGCTGCCTATGCTGCTCTGCAAATGGGGCCCACCCTTAATTGCAGAGCCACGTGAGGAAAAACAAAAAATGGGGAAACACACTCAATATGAGTCACTTCTCCTGATTTTGATTCCCCTCCACAATCCACCTGCTTTGTTTACTTTTCGGAGTCCAGGATTTTCAGTTGTGATCAGCAGGGGGGATGGGTCGTAGTGGCCTTATGCACTGCGGCAGAATGATAACTTCACTGTATTAAAATTCTTTGTAACTTTGGATCTCATGTGCAAAGAACTGGAAATCATTCTTCCCTGTTCATAGCATACTGACATCATCAGTTCCTAGTATTTTCTGTTTTCTTTATTCCCATTCCCTTTCAAAGACAACGGTGTTAGCGAGTTTGATATTTGTCCTTAAATATTTATGAATCCTTGTAAAGTAGCTAGTGTTGTTTACATGTATACTAGTTTTTAATTTACCACATTGAAGTTAAATCTTGTTCTATTACTTTTTCCTTTTTCTTCTAATGATTTATTTATTTTTGGAGAGAGAGAGAGAGCGTGCATGTGTGTACATGCTCAGGGTAGAGGGTAGAGGGCACAGGGAGAGGGAGAGAGAGTCTCGAGCTGATTCAGCGCTGAGCAGGGAGTCTGACTCAGGGCTCGATCTAACAGCCCTGAGGTCAGGGCCTGTACCAAATCTGAGTCAGATGCTTAACGAGCTGTGCCACCCAGGCACCCTTGTTTTCTATTTTTCATTCACCAGTATGCTTTTCAGTTATGTTCATGTCTTATGTATAGAAAAGGTTTGTTGCTGGGACGCGTGGATGACTCAGGGTGTGATCCTGGGATTCAGGGATCGAGTCTCGCATTGGGCTCCTTGAGGGGAGTCTGCTTCTCCCTCTGCCTATGTCTCTGCCTCTCTGTCTCTCTCTGTGTCTCTCATGAATAAATAAATAAAATTTTTTTTAAGTTTGTTGCTTCCAACTACATACTATTCCATAACAGGCATATATCACATTTTATGTATAGATTTTCTTAAGAAAGGTCATCTGTGTTACTTCCAACTCCTTCCTACCACAAACCTCTATGTGATTCTTATCTGGTTTACCTCTAACGTGTTATCTTGAATCTGCCAACTTACCTATACTACCAAACCCTCGTTCAAGTCCTTTTACCTCTTCCCTGTACTGTTAAGCCCTCTTCCTTTATTCACTCTTCCTCCATGGGCAATCTTCCCTTTTTTTTTCCTTTTCATCTTCCATATAGCATTCAGAGTGACCGTTCTAAACCATAAACCTAACATAGGCCTCACACAGATCTTTAGCTGGAAAAGGGAATGTCTCGAGGTCCTTGGACAACACTTTGAGAACTGCTGCTCTTCTGTGCATTCTGAACCACCTAGAAGACACTTTGTAGTTACTCAGTAATGTCTGCTAACTACATACTTACTGGTCTTAGATTTGAAAATTTGGATCTGGCTTACCTCAGACAAGGTAGCACTGTTCCTTGAACTATGGGAGTTAAGAATCATGTTGCCTAAGTGAGACAGGACAACCGTGACACCAGGTTTAGGGAGAAGGCTAAGGGAGAGGGAAGATGGATCAAACGAGGGCCCTACAAACTGTTCTTTTCCTCCTGTTGTCTCAGGGATACTATTTAGTTACTGTCCCTCTGTCAGAGAAATAGGGAGGCCTGGACATACCTGGTTCCAGATCCAGGAGCTCTTCTGAAGGGTCATAGAACACATAGAACACATATTACTTTGACTACTTTCTTTTCTTTGATCAACCTAGGACAGAATGCCTATGTGGGCTGCAGAATGATCATGAATGGACTGCTTTCTCATTATAATGAAGTATAATAATTTTCTATGCTGCATTTGATCAACGATTGTAGTTGTTAGATTACAATCCCAATTCTGTTTTTATTATCAAGTTTCTTAGTTTTTGCATAGATAACCAACTTGTCTTCTGAGGATATAAATAATTAAAGGAACTTAACTCTAGATCCTCCTTTGTGGTATATATATCTATATATATCTATGTCGTATTAATAGCAGGCCCCAGTGCTCCATAAAGGATAATAGTTTCCAGTACACTATCCCTCACGATGACTCCTTAAGCGGTTCATCATCTGCCTCTTCATGTGAGCCAGTGAGTGATTTTCCAACATCCTTCCGAAAATCTACCTACTGGATGAAGATGAGAAGGGTCAAGCCAGCTGCTGCTTCCCGTGTCGAAGGTATCAGTATCTCTGTCATGTTTCAAAGGCAGAGTACTCCCCAGGGAGCTGTTGTAAATGGCTCTTAAAGTATTAAGTATCACATATGTGTTTCTCACATTTGTGTTAGGCTGCCACATACTATTCAGCTTTGTGAACTGTCCTTCTATCTTAGAGTGAAATTCTGCTAATCTTAGTCCTGTAGGTTAGACCGGTGTCAGCCTGTCCCCTAAAAATGATTTGAATCTCTTTCCCACTGTTCCAGTTTGATCCTCTGTCGATGCTTAGGGTGATTCTAGGTACAGTTGTCTTGGTGGGCATGGTGTCAAGGGTCCTGAGCAGCCCTTTTTCTGGAACAATTCTTCTCCTTCATTGTGAGCCTCTATTCAAGACCAAAGAAAGCACACTGCCTTCAGGCTCTTATTATTCATAGGGAACAATTGATCACTTGGGATGGAGAATAGTGGAAAGGGAAAAGGGGAGGTTGTGTAAGTTGGTGAAGTTTTACCAACTTCCCTAAAAATGTCACAGCACCTCTGTGAGGCCTGTGCTCGCTCGTGAGCTTTCTCTGTGGTGGTCTTGTGAGTGATGTTTTGAAGGCAGGCCAAGATGTTCACTTGGAAGCCATACTGAGGGTTTTGTTTGTTTTCCTCTGGTATTTCAGGGTCTGGTGGAATATCAACCAAAGGAAAAAGGAAACCCAGGCAGGAAGAAGATGAAGATTATGGAGAATTTCCTCAGAAGAAGCATAAGCTTTATGGTAAGGGAGTAGTGTGGCTCATTCTCTTTCCTTTGGTGCCTGGGCTTTATTCCTTAGAGGTGAAAGAGAGAAAGCCCTTGGGTTTTGACCCTTGGAACCCTAGTGAGCCTTTTGATTTCTTGGCAAGGAATGGCTTCCGTCCTGACCTTACCTGTTGTTTTTTTCTGTTACAACTTAAGAGGGTCAGTTGGTTGAGGGAGTGGGGCACAGGGTATCGGGAAGAGGAGGGAAGAGATTTTGGTAGTAGAGAAAGGGTAGCAAGGTGATATGTTAGGCTTCAAGTTTCTGTCTTGCGTCAGGGAGGAAGCAACGGCCTAAAACTCAACCTAATCCCAAATCCCAGGCTCGTCGTATTCGGAAGGAACCACCAGCTTATGCAGCAGGTATGTGTTCTGCTGGACGCTTTGGGTACCTAGTGCTCACACTCTTGGTGGTGGCGGCGGCGGTGGTGGTATTAAAGGAATGATGTAGCAGGGTTTCTTTAAGGAGGCAGTTCTTAAGGGCATGAGTTTGGAAACCAGTCAGACACTTGTTGAAGTTTGGCTCTTAATTAGCTTTCTGGCCTGCTGCCCTCTAGTTAACTTCTGCAAGCTTCAGTTTCCTTGCTCTCCATAGGGGTAATGAAGGCAGTCAGAATTTTCGAGGAGACTAAATGGGATAAAAACACTTCACAAAGTCTCAAGCACACCCGTGGCTTGCTATATATCTCGGATCCCGCTGTTAGATGCTGCTAGGAAAATGTTGCCCGTTGTCAGTCATACCTCAATAAAGCTAGAAAAAACATGACGCTTAGAGCTTTTGAGTGGTTCTTAGATGGTTTTTATCATGGGGAACGAAGTAGGAGTTTCAGAAACTCCTGATTGTCTGAAAACAGATTATCGGTAGAAATCATCTGCAGCAAGGTTCTTTTCCCCAGGAAGGGGGGCAAACCATTTTATGATACTTTTACTAAGCTTCAGGATTGTGCTTTTCCTGTCTAGAGAATTGTGAAGATTATGAGGTGTTCCTTTTTCTCCTTTGTAGGCAGTTTGGAGGAACAATGGTACTTAGAAATCGTGGATAAAGGCAGTGTCTCCTGTCCTACTTGCCAGGCGGTAGGGAGGAAGACAATAGAGGGCTTAAAGAAACACATGGAGACCTGCAAACAGGTTAGAGATTTTGTGGCATTTTGTGATGGTTGTGATCTTTTCCCATACCTTAGACATCTTTCGCCGTCAGGTATACTGATTACACAGGAGAAAAAGCAGCATTGTGTTATAAGGAAAAAACATAAGCTTTTGAGTCTGACAGACTTGGGTTTGAATCTTCACTCAGCCACTCACTGTCCTTTAGCTTTTCAAGTGTGGGCCTTGGTTTTCTCATTTAAAAAAAGAGAGAGAAAAAGGGCATGTGGCTCAGTGGTTTAGCATTGCCTTGCCTAGGGCGTGATCCTGGAGACCTGGATGAGTCCCAAGTCCCACGAGGGGGTCTCCCTGCATGGAGCCTGCTTCTCCCTCTGCCTGTGTCTCCGCCTCTCTCTCTCATGAGCAAATAAATAAAATCTTAAAAAACAATAGAGAGAAAATTATTTTGTGTAGTCCCAGAGAGCTTAAGAAAGAAATAATAGTGCTAAGTGCCCATCCCATCACTCCACAAATAATTGACACTTAGTAAATGGTAATTCTTGCTACTTTAAACACGCGTTGCAGTTTACTTCTTTGCCTTTGAGGACATGACACTGAGGTTGTGGGATTTTGAGATTCATTGACTGTTGAGGTTGGGAAATGAGGGTAGATACAGACAAGAGCTTCTGAGTAGGATTTTGTAACATTCTGTTTCTCCGTTGAACAGCCTGGCACTGAGCAGTCTTTCTTCCTCGTAGGAAATGTTTACTTGTCATCATTGTGGGAAACAGCTTCGTTCACTGGCAGGGATGAAGTATCACGTCATGGCAAATCATAATAGCTTGGTAAGAGTATCTTCGGTACCGTATGAGTGAGCCTGTGTGTTTGGTGTTTGGATGTCTTTACACAGATGAGTGTGGATAACCCAGCGGAGGTGCCTAGGTTCTGGGGCTTTATAGGGGTCTAAAAACACCCTTTCGATAGAAGAGTTTCACAAAATGAAATCCTTGTTGGGTATTTGTGTGTTTCGGTTAGCCTCAAGGGTTCATCTCCTGGAAGATAGAGCCTCTGAACTCTTACTTGCATTGCATTTGCTTCCTTGTCTGTCTAGGAGAAGATGGAGAAAGCCAGGAGTCAGATAACTAAGCTTCATGGGCATCGGCTTAGGTGCTAGTCCAGTCCTTGATTCTCCTATGATATAATTTTTTTCTGTATCTGTCTTTTCTGTGAATCATCTTCTTGTCTGCTTCTCTTGCTTTCTAGCCCATTTTGAAGGCGGCTGGAGATGAAATAGATGAGCCAAGTGAGAGGGAACGGCTCCGAACAGTTCTAAAGAGACTGGGAAAGCTCAGGTGCATGCGTGAGGTAAGAGCCCAGGGACAGCACCTCCTTCGGCCTGGAGTCTTGAGTCAACGTCTTTCTGTTACTTTCTTCCATTTCTCCTCCTTCTCTCTTGTAGACTTTGTCTGTGTCACCTTACAGCATAAGAGTGGCTCCTGCTTTTCCAGGTGTTTTGAATTCATTAATAGTTCTTTATTTTCTTTCTCATCTCCACAAACTTATTTTTCTCCCCTTTCCCTTTGTTTGGAGGTGTTTCTTGACCATCTTTCTTTAGTGTGATGAAAAGGCTCCTAGCAGTCTCCTTGTGAGGAGCTTTGGCATTGCTGGGTGTTTGCTACTGGGGTGGAGTTGAGTCACAGACCAGAGAGGACGCTCTGCCACGGAGGAGATGGACAGTGCTAGTTTACTGAATGTCGACTCAACTGATTGAACATGACTCTTGGTGGTAGACAGGACAGATGTTAGGGCAGGGACAAGGGACAAGGAAGGGTTGTGAGAATGGGAGATGTTGGAGAGGGTCTAGCGATATCAGAGGATCTGTGTGATGATTGAGTCCTTTGTGGCTGTTTAGAAATTGAGAAATCACGTCAAAAGATGTAAGATTATAGTTCAGGCCTCTCTCCTGTATTCAGAGCTGTTCTAGTAGCTTCACCAGCATCATGGGATATCTGTACCATGTCAGAAAATGTGGCAAAGGGGCTGCAGAGCTGGAGGAGATGACCCTGAAGTGTCACCACTGTGGAAAGCCATATAAATCGAAGGCTGGACTTGCGTATCACCTGAGGTCAGAGCATGGGCCTGTGAGTACTGATTACTTTCCAGACCCTGTTTGGGGATCTATTTTGTGATGACTACTTACCTTACATCCTCCCATACATCTTTGGTTCTTCATTTGTATCCCTTTTTAATCTTTGAATGCTTTTGTTTTCTCTTCCATGTTTTTCCTTGGTTCTCTTATTTCTGCCTTTTGAACATAATTAGGTTAGAGAGATCCAAGTTCACTGTATAATCTGTGCAGAAGTAAACTCATTATTATATTTTTAAAGCCTAAGGCATTCCCCTTTAGCTAGAAATTTTGTGGAATTCTCTGTCCAGTTCTTCTTCCATCCCCATTGTTTTGTTTTGACTGTTTTTTTCTTGATTTCTAGGCTTGCCCCGCTCCTGTTTTGTTATTTTTTTTCAAGGTAAATTAATGGTCCCATTTTTTAGTGTACAGTTTATAAGAGTTTTGACAAATCCATACAGTTGTATAGTCCCCACCCCACAGTCAAGATATAGAACGATTTGACCACTGATCAAATCTATTGATCTATTTTCTGTCCCTATAGATATGCTTTTAAAAATTAGATCTACAGAGTACCTTCACATCAGCGTGTAGATTAGTGTTTGATTGAATAACTGGTTGACTGTAGCCTATTCAGGGTAACACATCGAAAACCCATCACACGCAGCATGACATAAATTTCCTTCTTCGGTTTCTTCTAGAAATTTTAGAGTAATATGGTTTATATTTGATTCATTTTCAGTTACTTCTTATATGTACTATGAAATATGGATTGAGGTTCATGTCTTTGCACATGGCTATGTCTTGACCCTTAATTACTTCACTTATTGAAGCAACAGATTTTATCCTAAGAAGTTTTTTTTTTTTTTTTTTTTTACCAATAAAATATGCATTAAGGTGGTGGAGCTTTATGCTAATGGAAAGCAAGCTAGTAAATAGCTTTGGTACTTAGAGCAGGAGGGATAGCTTTGAATCATTGGCTCTGATGGAACCCCACTTCTCAGGCCTGTGTTTTGCTATGTCTCATTCTTGCAGATCTCATTCTTTCCAGAGTCAGGACAGTCAGAGTGCTTAAAAGAGATGAGCCTGGAGCCAAAGAGTGGGGGTCGAGTTCAGAGGCGTTCTGCCAAGATAGCTGTGTACCACCTGCAGGAGCTGGCTTCTGCTGAACTGGCCAAGGAATGGCCTAAGAGGAAGGTGCTTCAGGATTTGGTACCTGATGATCGGAAGGTAAAGTAGAAACTTGTATTAATTTAGAACCATGTCTAATACTATGCTTATGTACGGAAAAGTAAATGCACTTGAGTACATGATAAATGATATTTTACTTCCTTATTTTTAGAGATGGGATATGTTTAATCCACTTTCAGTGTTTGGATTCATGTGGGTCCTAGAGAGACAGTCTGTTCCAGAAGTTTCTTAAGGAACCCCGTTATTTCTGGTCTACTTCCCGAGGGAACCAGAATTCCCAGATTAGTCTTTTGCTTAGTTGTTGCCCAGTATGTTTCCACTTTGTTAGTTCACGTGTGGGAGTCTATATTTAGTTAATGCTTTCCATTTGTTTTTCTAGCCACAGAACTCCTCTCCCCACGCACTCTTTTTTCCAAATGAAAGCTTATCTAAAACACCAGTATGTGAAATAACTGAAAATGGAGTCACTCCAAATAACTAGAGGTAGTGAGCCCAAAGCCTTGTCTACTTGGCCTTCTCTTTGATACTTTTATCATTACCTCCATGGTTCCAAGTGTACTTGTGAGTGGTATAGAACCCAGCTTGGAAGCCTTTGGGGTTTTTTGTTCATTTGTTTTTTGTTTAAATCATTTATGTATTTGACAGAGAGAGAGCACAAGCAGGGGGAACAGCAGAGGGAGAGGGAGAAGCAGGCTCTCCGCTGAGCAGGGAGCCCAATGTGGGGCTCAATTCTAGGACTCTGGGATCTTCTTGACCTGAGCTGAAGGCAGACGCTCAAAGGGCTGAGCCACCCAGGTGCCCCTGGAAGCCTTTGGTGTAAAACAGATCAAAGACCAGAGGAAGATTATTTGGCCAAGAGGAGACAAGGGGTATATGACTTAATGGGAGTAGTCATTCGAAAGCTTGGAGGATATACAGTAAGGATTAAGATTAGAGCTAAGGACCTATTACTCTCCATGGTATGGAGAAGAATAGTTTATATTTGGCCTAGGGCTTTCACTCATGCGAGGGGAATGTCATAAGTTATATGAAATTTGTCAAATCTCAGAAGTTGATACCTCTTATTTGGCCTAAAAATCAGTCCAAGGAGTAATTGAACATCAAGGCATCCTGTCTTGTTTCAGACTTATTGCTATTTCCTGCCACAGGCTAAAGTATATGGTTATCTAAATTCAGTTTAAATGTGAATTTTATACATTGGTAAGTACATTGTGATATTATAGTCCATCTGTGCATTGTCTGTGGTAGGGAATTTGACATAAATATTTGTTAGCTCATCGATAAGTTTTGATAGTCTTATCTAGCAGCTACTTTACTAAAATCATCTGTTTTATGTTTCAACATTGTGTAGGCTAAGGGAATTATTTTGTTTTTTTAAACTAAAAATTCAGGGGAATCTGGGTGGCTCATTCTTAAGTGTCCAGCTCTTGATTTTGGCTCAGGTCATGATCTCAGGGTTGTGAGATTGAGCGAGCCCCATGTCAGGTCTGTACCGGGCATGGAGCCTGCGTAAGATTCTCTCCCTTTCCATATGCCCCTCCCCAATAAAATAAAATAAAATAAAATAAAATAAATAAAATATGATAAGATAAGATAAGATATTAATTTGTTTGAATAGATTATACATTGTTGTCGTTAAAGTCAAAATGAGGGATCCCTGGGTGGCGCAGTGGTTTGGCGCCTGCCTTTGGCCCAGGGCGCGATCCTGGAGATCCGGGATCGAATCCCACGTCGGGCTTCCGGTGCATGGGGCCTGCTTCTCCCTCTGCCTGTGTCTCTGCCTCTCTCTCTGTGTGTGTGACTATCATAAATAAATAAAAATTAAAAAAAAAATTTAAAAAAAAAAAAAATAAAGTCAAAATGATGATTAACATTGAGGTATCTCACTCTCACCCCATCCTTGTTGTCTTGTCTCCATGGTTAACCATTCTCACTGATTTCTGTGTCCTGCCAATGTTTCTTTTCTTTTCTTTTTTTCCCTGCCATTGTTTCTTGATGCAAACACAAGCAATATTGTCTAGGAGAAGCTCTTGTGTTTTCCTTTACTCTCACGCTACTACACACTTAAGCTTTGACATCAGATGTGTGGGTTTGTCCCATATAGAACAATTTTCTATCACCACCTGGGCATCCTACAAATAATTCAGTTCGACATTATCTATCTGGGCTTGGTGGCAGATCCTACAAGTTAAGGGCTCAGTCCCACCCACAGGACTGCTCCAATTTCAGATGCCAATCGCAAGTCTCAGTTTGCCACCTGTGCTTCTGAGTGATTGGCTATAAATTGGGGTTCCTATAACCCCATCCTTGGTTTTGGTAATTTGCTAGAATGGCTCACAGAACTCAGGGAAACACATTTACTGGTTTGTTATAAAGAATATAATAAAACCTACAGATGAAAAGTCAGATGAAGAAATTTATATAGAATGAGGTCTGGAAGAGTCCCAAGCACAGTAGGAGCTCCTGGCCCTGTGGAGTTGGGGGTGCATCACCCTCTTGGCCATATATATGTTCATCAACTCAGAAGTTCTTTGAACCCCATAATCTTGGGATTTTTATGGAGGTTTCATCACATAAGCACGATTGATTAACTCCATTTCTAGCCCCTTTGCCTTTCCAGAGAATGGGGAATTGGTCTGAAAGTGCCAAACTTTATCCCTTAAATGGATTTGTCTAGTGTTTTCTTGAGATTAGATTGAGGGTTATATGTTTTTGTCAAGAATACCACTGGAAAAAAAAAAAAAAGAATACCACTGAAGCAGTGTTACACCGTATCAGGAGGTATGTGATATTGATGTGTCTTTTTACTGATAACTTTGATCACTTGATGAGGGTGTTGCCCAATTTTCCCCAAGGCAAAATTATACTTTCCCCTCTTGTAATTAGTGAATATTTTGGGGGGAGATTGACAGTATGCAACTAGCCTGAGTCTTTTCATACTTCTGCCCACTTACCATAGCATCCATCAGTGATTCTTGTCTGCAATAATTATAATTATTATTATGGTGGTTTGCCTAATGATGGTTAGTGTTTCCATTATTTCTTCCATAGTTATTAATTGGAACTCTCCTGTGAGAAAGATATGTCCTTTTATTCTATAAATCTGTTTATATCCATATGGACTCATGGATATTTTATTGTAGCATTATCATCCAGTGCTATTATTGTTGTTCATTTTATAGCTCAAATTGTCTCAGATTTGGCCATCAAGAGCTCTTCCAAGTACGTACCTATGTCTTTTTGAGATGCTTCTATCATTTTTTGAGCCCCCCCTTTTTTTTGTTTTGACACCTCGAGACGCTATAGGGTCATCTCATATATTCCCTGTCCCAGCCCTGGAATCAACCATTTCCCTAAGGAATCCTGATTTCTTTTATTGGAGAATAATATATTTAAAAACCAAGATTTGAATGCTACGTGTACTCATTCCTGCTAGGGTGTCATTGTTTCTGGGCCCTCTTAGTGGATAGAGCTAGGATATATATGTATATTCATGGATACATGCACACACTCTGTTCTTTTTTTAAAAAAGATTTTATTTATCCATTTATTTAACGGAGAGAGAGAGAGAGAGAGAGAGAGAAGAGAAAGAGGGAACAGGGGGAGGAGCAGAGGGAGAAGGATAAGCAGACTCCATGCTGAGTGCAGAGCCTGACGTGGGCTTGATCCCATGACCCTGAGATCATGTCCTGTGCCAAAATCAAGAGTCGGATGCGTAACTGACTGAGCTACTCACTCGCTCCCCTCTGTGTTCATGTCTGTCTGTGTATCAGTGTACAGATTTAAGGCCATGATACCTTCAATTCCAATCCAACACAAGTTTCATTCTTGCCTTCCTCTGTGCTTATTTCTAACTTCTTTCTCCAACAGCGAGAGACCTCTCATAGAGTACAATATATTTACTTACTTGCTTAGTCCTAGTATAACCTAGTTTCTCAATTGTTAACCCATACCCCTGTAAAAACAGATTTACTACCTAGAGAACAATATTTGTTATAGTTCTTTTAATCTTTAGCCTTACAGTATATAGTCAAAGTACTATTTTACAGTTACTTAGATTGGCTCCTTCCTCACTTCATTTGGTTTCCCATTTATCATCATTAGCTTCATGTGTTACTCTTACTACATTTTGGGTTCCCCCTACATCCCATTTAATTGAAATGAGTAATTTATCTTGGGAGTATGTGAAACGTTACCGTGGTTCTAAAAGTCAGACCTGTACCAAAAGTCTTCTTAGAGAAGGGCTACTGCCCTCTTCCCAGCTGTCCCATTCCTAATACCCTTTTATTTCCATCCCGTTCCCACCCTGCTCCCTGCAAAGATAATCATGCTCAGTAGTTTCTGGTTTATCCTTCTTATATTTTTATGGGATGCATAACCAGATAATGCATATTTTCTTATATTCTTTTCTTTCTTACATAGATGCTTTTTTGCGTTTTGCTTTATTTCACTTCAAAGTCTGTCCTAGAAATCACTCCGTATGTGCTCATAGATTATTCTCATTTCTTTTTTTATAGCTGCATAAATATGATAGTTTATGAATATAATAGCTTATGTAAATATTCTGCTATCACTATAAAAAGATTTTATTTTATTATTTAAAGATTTTATTTATTTCCTCATGAGACACACACACACACACACACACACACACACAGAACCAGAGACACAGGTAGAGGGAGAAGCAGGGTCCACGCAGGGAGCCTGACATGGGACTGGATCCCAGGTCTCCAGGATCACGCCCTTGGCTGAAGGTGGCGCCAAACCGCTGAGCCACTGGGCTGCCCCACTATAAAAGGATTTTAGATGGTCCCACATACACTAGCTGCAGAGGAGAGGAGGTACTTAGAAATAAAGCCAGCTCTGTGCTCTGATTGCCTTTATAGATTTGTCAGCGTTTCCTGAAGGTGACTTCCTTACTTCCCCTGACCTCTATGGGCTTTGGCTCTGTTTTTCTATCTCAGTATCTGTTTCAGATACTTAAATTTTTCAAGCAGGAGGAGGATTGTTTTCTCACTGGAAACATAGCTATTACTTGTGGTGGGCTTTGTGAGAACTGTCTCTCCAAGTGCCAGCTGTCTCTTTTCTGGAAACTACAGTTGTTGTTTTAAGAAGAGACTAACCTGGAGCTCCAGTGGCACAATCGGTTAGCGCGCGGTACTTCTGCGAAGAGACTAACCTGTGTCAAAGCACATGAAGGAAAGTGCGAGGAATAGTTAATTCTCGTCTCAGGCAGTATCAGGAAAGATAGTGTATTCCATCCCCTGAGTTCTCTCACATCTTTTATTTTCACATTTTTGTTTTAAAATGTTTCACATTTTTAGATTGAATCTCAGTGTTTGTGTTTGAATTTAAAATTACCCAGAATTAACGTGACACTTCTGAAGAAAAAGGAGAAATGCAGAGGAGCAGGGAAAAGACATTAAAACCACTCAAAATTCCACCACCCAGAGATGACTACTGTTCACGTGTTCATTTATAACCTTCTAGCGGGATCCCAGGGTGGCGCAGCGGTTTGGCGCCTGCCTTTGGCCCAGGGCGCGATCCTGGAGACCCGGGATCGAATCCCACGTCGGGCTTCCGGTGCATGGAGCCTGCTTCTCCCTCTGCCTGTGTCTCTGCCTCTCTCTCTCTCTCTCTGATTATCATAAATAAATAAAAAAAAAATAACCTTCTAGCCTTTTCCCAATTTACATATATTTCTATCAAATGTATTATATATGTGCGTGTATGTATGTACCCTGTGTTTAAGTATACCTATAATAAGTATAATTTACATGTAGTACATATTTGTTTCCCTGGTTTTTTTTGTAAAAGTGTTTTAGCTGTATAAATGCTCTGTCAGTAGCTTTTTCAAATTATAGATGAAGTGCCATATCTGAAAGTCTCCTTCCCTCTGTTAAAAATCAAAACATTCTAAGATTAAACTATAGAAAATTATACTTACCAGTGTTAGGTACTTTGTACTAATTTGTACTAATTTGTACTAATTTGTACTTAAAGGATCATACCTACTACAGTTTTTTTGCACATGAAAGGATGCTTGTCGAACTCCAGAATTACATAACCTGAAGAGTTGGGTGTGAAACTTTTGGGGTATTTTGGTTGGAAGTTGGGTTCCTCCAATAAAATATTTCTTGTCTTGTAGTTAAAATATACTCGCCCTGGGCTGCCTACCTTCAGCCAGGAAGTGCTACACAAATGGAAGTCAGATATCAAGAAATACCATCGCATTCAGTGTCCTAACCAGGTGGTTCTTTCTCATTTATTTATTCCGTAAATGTTAATCAAACTGCTGTTTCAGTTATTTATTCCATCATGATGAAGTACATGAACCTCAGTGGCTTAAAACCTCAGTTATTTTATTTGTTCAGAATTCTATAAATCAGTAATTCTGCCAGGGCTCAAAGAACATTCTCCTGTCATACGTGGCATCAACTGGGATCATTCGTGGGTTGTATTTAGCCGCAAGCTCAGATGGGACCGGATGTCCAAGATGGCTTCTGTGCAGCCAATTGAGCTCCTTCAGGGTGTAGTGGGTTACCAGCAGGGCACATGGCAACTGACTTTTCAGAGTATCCCAGGAACATGAAGATGGAAGCCGCAGAACTCTTAAGGCCTAGCTTCAGAATTTGTTCAACATCATTTCCATGGGATTCTATTGGTCAGAGGAATTACAGGGTTCACCCAGATTCAAAGGGAGGGTAAGTAGCATCCACTTGTTGCAGGAAAGAGTGGCAGAGAATTTCCAGCCATCTTCTAATCTACCACAACCATATGTGCAGAACTTTGGGAAGAAGCAAATATACAAGAAATAGGAGACACATTTGTACTGAAGAAGGCAGATTTAAAAAAAATACCTAACTGCAATTTTCTGTGTCAGAGAAAAAGTAGCAGGGAAGAGAATATCTTAAGCTTTTCTCAACAACTTGTTCACCATTTGTTTTTAAACCTTTCTTTGGTTTTTCTTTTTTGCTTTTGTGGCTTGTGTGTGAATTTTTTTCCTGTTTGGTTTGTAATGTGATTTATTGGGCTTCTTCCTCCAAGTGTAGGGCTGGTCAGTGTAAATAAATGGCCAGGTTGCTAAGAGAAGGATGCGGTTTGCTATAGTTTTCATGGATTTCTTCTTCTCTTTTTCAGGGTTGTGAAGCTGTCTACAGTAGTGTATCAGGCCTTAAAGCTCACCTGGGCTCTTGTACCTTGGTTTGTAACTTTCTGAACAATTTATCTTACCATGACCTCTAAAATAGTCTGACATGGAAGAGAATTCAGTTTAGATGAACAGCTAGTTGTCCTGTTTGCCATTATCTTCAGAGGCTGGCTTAGTTTTTTCATGTCCCAAAGATGCTTGGTCTGTTATTAGAGGGGATGCCCGGCTATGTTCAAGATACAGGAAAAGCCAACATAGCCTTAAGTCTTATCAATTAAGGAATTTGGAGAAATATATTATTAATTTTGAGTCTCTACCAGGGATTTAACATCTTCCACCTGAGCCTCTCCTGCCTTGGGCCTTCCCTATCTTATCGGGCCTTAAACTTTCTTGAATCAACTTACATGTGTTTATCTGGATTGTTGAAGATCCTCTACTCCCATCTGAATTATACTGGCCTCTGCGGATGAGAAGTAGGCTCTATCTGCTGTCAGGCAGACGGCTGTTCACCTCACTGAATCTTTTTTGTGTTGACCCAGGTGCCCTACAAACTGCTGTAACTTTTTAATTCCCATTCAGAAATATCTCTTCACACAAAAGGAGCCCCATGGGCACTCAGAGCTTCAGGAGTCAAGGCAGCACGGGAGTGTAGACATCCAAACCCCATCTGTCCAGGAATGCTCAGGAGTTTGTCATCATGATCTTAGTTTCAGAGTCCTTAACCTAGATGTTGCAAATGATACTTCTCAAATTCTGGATGTCCAAGGCACTCTTTGAAACAGTGGATTATAGTGGGAAGAATTATATGCATTGGTGCCTCTGTTTAACCTCAGGAGTCCAAGAGTCATTCCAAGAGAACCAGGAAGTGAAAGAAACAAGGACGTTAGAAAAGTGTGACGTGTTTTATAGCAAAAGAAGGAGAACCTCAGTTTGTGTTGAAGGGGTGGGGGTATTATGTATAGAATTATAAGTAGGATAGATTTATATTGGTGACAGTCTGCCCAACCGAGTTTTCCTAAATGTATTGCTGTTTTGGATTTTCTTCCTTCTTTGCTGAAGTAAAATCCCCGCCCTTTCTGTCTCTAACAATCTCCCACATGGCTCAGGTATGTGTTCCTGAATTTACGAGTAATTCCCTTTTCTTTCTCTCTTGAAAACAGGGAAACTTTGTGGCTGGAAAATACAAGTGTCTTCTGTGTCAAAAAGAATTTGTGTCAGAGAGTGGTGTCAAGTATCACATCAACTCTGTCCATGCTGAGGTGAGGTCCCTGCTTTCCCCGCCATGTTTTTGTGATCCTGTGGAACCCATAGGTATGCGCCCCCAAAAGTGGATTTTGTGCGTTTTTATGGGCTGGGACTGTTGAGGAAAGGAATTTGAAAGTGCTTACCAGAGACAGAGTTAAAATACTTTGTGAAATTAGATGTGTAATTGTATTTTTATGTGAAAGCATTTGAAATCACTGTAAGTGTGAGCACCCCTGAGCTCTTGTGATTCTTTTAAATTCAGTTAAACCAAGAGTTTGGGCGCTGGGCTGAGTTTATAGCTGTAGAATTCTTGTTTTATAGCAGTCTCTATACTTCTGTTTTCTCCTATTCTAAGGCCTTTGAGCAATCTGTTTTTAATGTTTCAAATACTGCAAAGAAACAACTGTAAGGGACATTAGTGAGACAAACTGGAGAAATTGGAATACTGGCTCTATTAAATAACAGTGATGAGTCAATGTTCATGTTCCCAAATGTGATCATTGTGTTGTAGCTGTGCAGAAGGCCCTTGTTCTCAGGCAGATCTATGCTAAAGTTTTTAGGGATGAAATATGTCTACAAATAACTTGCAAATGGTTCAGCAAAATGAAGAGAAGAAGGAAGAAAGGGAAGAGAGGTAGGCAATGGTAAATCTAGGATTCATTGAATTCTTGTCACCTTTCTTAAGGTCTGTAAATTTTCAAAATTAAAGAATCAATTCTGGGGTGCCTGGGTGGTTCAGTGGTTGAGCGTCTGCCTTTCACTCAAGTCATGATCCTGGGTTCCTGGGATGGAGTCCCACATTAGGCTCCTCATAGGGAGCCTACTTCTCCCTCTATGTCTCTGCCTCTCTCAAAAAAAAAAAATTAAAAAAAAATAAATAAATCGATTCTGCATAAAAATACTTTAAATACAGAAAGTCAAGAGGTTTCTCCTGGGGCAAGTTTTTAGTTATACAGGTCGATAGAGAAATTGTTTCCTGTGTAATTAAATACCTGTATTTCAAAAGCTTAAGGAGTAGAGTGTGCATTCTCTTGGAATATCTTACCGCAGAAGCTATTGTGGCCTAATAAGGAAAAAGAGCAAACACCTTCAACTGTTCTCTGCCCTCACATTTAATACTTCCTAACGCTGTGGGCTGTAGTTAGTGTCATGAAATGTGGTCTCTGTTGTTTTACAGGTTTAAGCTTTGGAATCGCTTTCTATATCTGAGATTTCCTCTGGAAGGCAGTCAGTCATATCTTCCTCATAGTAATAGTGTACCTTTTTATACTTCAGGAAGTATTTAAAAGATAATTAATCTCCTAACAAAATCCAGCATTTATGTAGTGAGCCTATTTCTCCAATTTCTTCTTAAAAAGTTGGAACCAACAAATTTCACTTGGTTTGGAGTTTGTTCTCCAAGTCTTATTAGTTCAATGATTTGTGCCTATATTTATAAATTATACGTGGTGGTAAAACATTTTCACTCTGTTCCTCCCTCTCTGCCTCACATATTCTGAAGCTACTTTTTTTCAACAGAAATTTTCAAATACATGAAAATGGACAGAATAGTATAATGAACAGCCTAACAGACATCAGTGTGTGGCCAATCTTCTTTTCCTTTATAATCACACCCACTTTTCTTGTCCCTTAAAGGCTTATTTTTTTTTAAAGGCTTATTTTAAAGCAAATTCCACATACCATGTCAACTGTCACTGCTTCTTTTGATGTGTGTGTGTAAAATATAAGGACTTTTAAAATTGTATAACCACAATCATCATTACACCTAAAAAATTAGCAAAGAATGGTTCTTGAATATCGTCATATACCTCGTCATTATTGAAATTATTTAAATTTCCTTGATTGCCTCTTAATTTTTTTTCAGAGTTGGCTTGTTCAGGAGGAAGAAAAAAAAATGTCCGTATACTGTATATTTTAATCTAGAGTGCTATCCAATAGAAATGTAATGTGAGTCATGTATATAATTTCAGATTTCCTAGTACACACATTCTAAAAATGTTTTTAAATAAAAATAGGTGAAATTAATGTTGATAATATATTTTATTTAACCTAGTATACCTAAAATATTATCTTTTAAACATGTAGTTAATAAAAACTAATGAGATACTTTACATTTTTTCATACTAAGTCTATGCAATACAATGTGTATTTTTTATATTGAAAGCATATCTCAATTGCAGGTCTAGAAGTTTCCCCTACTCCCCCTTTTTATTTGTTGGAGAAACGGTCATTTGTCACATGTGTATACACATTTTGGATTTTGCTGAGTGCATTCCTGTCGTGGTGGTGGTCCTCTCTCCGGGTATTTCCTATGAATTGGTAGTTAGACCTAGAAGACTGATCAGATCACTTGATTTCAATTGAAATCCTTCCTTCCTTCCTTCCTTCCTTCCTTCCTTCCTTCCTTCCTTCCACAAGAGTGTTTCATAATTGGATTTCATGTTCCTCAACTGTTAATTTTTTTAAACTGAGTCTCAGAGAGGTTGAGTAATTTCCCCATGGTCACAGAGCCAGAAACAGCTGAGATTTGCACTAAGATGGTCTCGCTGTAGAATTCATGCCCTTAACCACTATACTTTCGTGAAATAAAAATGTCCTATGGCCCGAAGCTTTATAGCTCATGAGATTTTTACAAAGGAGATAAATAAGTAGGATGATGCTAAGTGAACAGACTTTGTAGTTCACTTACTGAAGTATGAAGTACCCCAAATCGTGTGCTACACAATAAATGCTTGTAATGACTACTCACTATTCTGTATTGAATTTCTCCCATTTAAAGTACAGAATTATAAGCCCTGGTTCCCTATCCGTTTCCTTCTTACTGTGTTCTGCCCTAGCCGTGCCTTTTAGAAAGTCTTCTCACACCCAGGGCGCCTGGGTGGCTCACTCAGTTGAGCATGGGATTCTTGATGTCATCTCAGGTCATGATCTTAGGGTCGCGGGATCGAGCCCCAGCCTAGGGCTCCATGCTTGGTGGGAGGGGTGGGTATCTGCTGGAGATTCTCTCTTGCCCTCTGCCCCTCCCTCTCCTCGTGCTCTCTCTCTCTGTCAAATAAATAAGTAAATCTTTCAAAAAAGAAAGAATTTCTTCCCCCACCCATTCCTTGTGCTCTCTACTGTGTATTGACTGGATGATTTTTCCATTTTGCCTCTGTAGGACTGGTTCGTCGTAAACCCAACCACCACCAAAAGCTTTGAAAAGCTAATGAAGATAAAGCAGCGGCAGCAGGAAGAAGAAAAGCGGAGACAGCAGCACAGGAGCAGAAGGTCTCTGCGAAGGCTGCAGCAGCCAGGCATCCAGCTGCCTGAGGCGGAGCTGAGTCTTAGAGTAGGGAAGGATCAGAGGAGGAATAACGAGGAATTGCTAGTGTCGACCTCCTATAAGGAACCGGAGCAGGAGCCAGTGCCAGCACAGTTCCAGAAAGTAAAGCCCCCAAAGACTCATCATAAACGAGGAAGGAAATAGGCAGGCAGTGTGAAAGCTCCTAGGAGAGCAAACGGGATGCTGTTGTCACGGGGACCTGTGCTGGGAGGACTGAGTCACTGGGGCTGAGCGAGGAGAAATGTACTCTTTTGTTTGGGTAAGGCTGTGACTTTCTCAGCTCCTTCCTCCTGTGTAAATTTCACTGTTCTCTCTATTTATTCACTTTGACCCCACTCCCCCCCCACCCCCACCGCCTCTTGGGTAGGTGTTCCTGCTATTCCTCATTGGAGTCCTCTTGTTTTTCTCTCATTTTGCCCAAAGAGCTCCCTCTTCAGTCCAACTGTGGGCCCTTCTTGCTCTGTACAAAACTGAGAAACCCATTTGGTTGTCCTTTTCCTTCCCGGGCTATAGAATGTTCTCGGACTCTCCACTGATTAGTCATTCCATCATTTCGCTTATAAAACAATTCCAAATTAATTTTTAAGAATCATACTGATTTATCATTTTGTATTTGTGATATAACAATCCTAGAAGCTAGAACTGTTGTCACTCATGTAATAAGCTTATCCTGTCTCCCTGGGTAACAGATTTTATGGAGGCCGTTTGTTCTCTCTCAATGTGGTTTTAGGATTGAAAGTAAGAAAATGGACTTAAGATGAAAAAGCTAGAACCTCCCTATGCTGGTTTTACTGGGAAGTGTTTCGTTTGTCCCAAGTAGCAGTGACTGGCTAGACCCCCAAGCATGAAAAGCAGCCCAAACATCAAAATGTCCCAAACATGAAAATGGTGGGAAAGCAGGAAGTAGACGAAGCAATAAATACTGCCTTGACTTTCCTAGGGCTTGAGTCCTCATCTGTTGCTATGATCAGTGTCCTCTGGGCGCTTGTCCCCCACCCCCAACCCCCCAACCTCCAACCCCCAGTTTTAAGGATGAAGAATTACCGCATTGCACTTGATGTTTTGACACAGAATCCTAGTGTTCCTAGTAATGCCAGACTGGCAGCCAAGGGGCACATTCCGTCTCCCCTGGGCTTGACCTCACTTGTTAGTCTACACCATGCTAAGTCCTTATTCCTCCCCTCAGCCGACGTCTGTCTTTTGGAGTTTTCTGAGAATATAGTCCTCTGTCCTCTTTTGTATGTGGCGTTTATCCTCTTTATATCTTGAGACTTGACACCAGATGTAGGTATTTCTCTGGTGTTGGAAAGAAAAATTCCTTTTCTGTACCTCATGCCTACCTGGTAATGTCTAGTGGGCTACTTTTCTTCTTCAAGGCTGGCTTTCTCTGGAGCATTGTTTAGAACAGCTCTGTTGTGTTTCTAGATTCTCTTCCCCTCTTCCATAAATATTGGTCTTATATATTCTTGCCAACTTTTGTGGCATATGCCACATAAAAAGCAAGGGCCCTTAACCCTGATATGGATAAATACTACCTTTTCAAATTCTGAAAGGCTGTTACTGCTCTTTAACTCTGTATTCTGTGCTGCTCCACATAGCTTTAAAATGTGGGCTTTTGTGAAGACCACTTTCAAACAAGGGAGCATTGAAACCAGATTTGGATACTGCCAGATAGATAGTTTTGAAACAGGTCAAGGACGTGGTATGTCCAGTCTACCTTTTCATTGGCAGTTGCACCCTTGAAACCCTTTCGGTAGGTGAGGATTGTCAGGGAGGAGAAATGAAGAAGCTATATTAATTTCTGGTGAGTAAGACTTGGGGAATGTTGGGCAATGACAAAAGAAATAAATGACTGTCGGTTAGAATGATGTTTCCAGTTGTTCATTGACTCCAACCTGCTGCCCGACTTGCCGACACAGTGCCGACACTGTGCATGGGGATAAGAAGATGGCTAGACATGGGAGTGGGTTTGAAATAAGTACCAAATGCGGTGTCTCAGTAGTATTTTAGTTCCTGAAATGTGTTGGCTAAAACGAGTAATTTGTTTGAGGTTAAAGTGAATTAGTATAGGAAACTTGTCCAGTCTCATCTAGGGCCATTGTAGGCACTTAAAAAAAAATTTTCCTTCCTGGGGTGCCTCGGTGGCTCAGTTGGTTAAGCACCTGACTTAGGTGTACGTCATGATCTTGGGGTCCTGGGATCAAGCCCCACGTCGGGCTCTTCACTCGGCAGGGAGTCTGCTTGTCCCTCTGCCCCTCCTCCTGCTCATGCTCTCTCTCTCTCTCTCTCTCCTTCTCTTAAATAAATAAAGAAAATTTGTAAGAAAAATTTTTTCCTTCCTGAGGCCATGTCTCAGCAAGTCTCAGTAGAGAGTATCATAATCATTCTACTGAGTTCTTAAGTTTTTAAACAAAGTTCATTAGAATACAAATTTGACAATATCGAATATAGCCAGGTTGTACAGAATGTGAACTCTCATGCACGAATTGGAATGTAAACTGGTACAATCACTTTGGAAACGATTTGTTAGTATCTAGTCAAGCTGAAAATATGCCTTAAGATGCAGCAGTTTTACTCCTGGGTATATACAGAGGGAAATCCTCCTGCCCAGGTATACCAGGAGACATAAACAAAGAATGATACTGTAGTATGGTTTACTCCACCATAATCTGCTCTCACCTTGCAGAGTTATAGGATTACAGGACAAATGGTTAGATTATGTTTCCCAGCTCTCCACCCCCCCGCCCCTGTATTGAAGGGGCAGCCAACTAACTTCTCTCCAATAGAACGTTAATGGAATTGAGGGTGTCACATGCAAGCTAGAATTTTTAAGAAAATGAGTATACTTCTATGCTTTTTTTCCCCCTTCCTTGGGCCACATGCAGATGATAAAATGACTTTAGAGGGTGGCAGAGCAGAAAATGGAAAATGGTTGATGCCCCGAATCACCCCATGAACATCTATCTGAAGAGAAAAAAGATCTGTTATTTGAGGCACTATACCTTCTTGGGTCTCTTTGTTAACCTACTTTAAAACTAATCTAATTGTCCATCAGGAGAAGGGATAAATCGTGATACAGTTATATGCTGAAATACTATACAGCGATAAAATTAAGGCTTCTTGTATCATGAATACATCTCAACAATAATGCCTGGAAAAAGCAAGTTACAGAATACATGAAGTAGGCCATTTATATAAGGCTTAAAGACAATGCTCTATATTGTTTATGGATATATAAAAATATATTTATATGCTACATATGTAAATATTTGTATGTAGTATACATTTATAGTTTAATATCATATGTATATGTATACGTGGCATGAAAACATGCACAGGAATGATAAACACCAAATTTAGGACAGTGCTTCTAGGATTCAGAAGGACAAGTGAATTTTTAAGTTCTTATTTCTTAAGGTAGATAGTGGGTTTGTTCTGATCTTCTGTATTTTGTGTCTGAAATACTTCTTTTAAAAAATCAGTGCCCACAAACTATTCTGCTCACCTCCTTCTTAAAAGGGAACACCTTAGAAATGTTACTTGTCTTAACCTTTCATTTTCCCTTCACCCTTTAGTCTGCTCTTCTTTCTACTTACTTCTATTTCAGCCGCCCTACTCCAAACCATCATCACCTCTTGGCTAGACTATAAGTTTCCTAATTGTTTCCTTCTGATTTTTACTGGTTTGGATACACTCCACATAACAGCCATAGTGAGTTTTTAAACTTGTAAATCAGCGCTCGTTCACCAGCTCAAAGCCTGCTGGTTTCCCATTCCACTTAGAATCCAAGTCACTCCCTCCTTGTCCCACAAGGCCTTCTCCTCCTCCTGCTAACCCATTTAGCCTCTTCTTCCCCTACTCCTTTGTTCTCTGACCATTCCCCAGCTACCCTTTAGCCATAGTGACCTTTTTGTTCCTGGAACCTAGTAAGCTCATTCCCATCTTAGGACCTTTGCATTCACTGTTCCCATTGCCTGGAATGGCTTCTTCCTTGGGCTTTGCAAGGTAGGCTTCATTGTATCATTTAGGTCTTAACCTAATTTCACCTCGGAGGTCCTTTTCCACCTAAATGCACTTTCTGTAACATCACTGTGTTTAATTTTGTTCATTGCAAAGCAGATTCAAAGTAGATTGAAGTATTAGTTGGCCAGCCTACTGCTCACTTGCAGGTATGGATTTCAAATTATCTTTATCAAATGATTCACTCTCTAAATAGTCTTCAAGGGAACCCTGGGTGGCGCAGCGGTTTGGCGCCTGCCTTTGGCCCAGGGCGCGATCCTGGAGATCCGGGATCGAGGCCCACGTCGGGCTCCTGGTGCATGGAGCCTGCTTCTCCCTCTGCCTGTGTCTCTGCCTCTCTCTCTCTCTGTGTGACTATCATAAATAAATAAAAATTAAAAAAAATATATTAAAAAAAATAAATAAATAGTCTTCAAGCTCTCAAAACCTCACTTGGAAAGGGACAGACCTAAAGCAGCAATACACCAGATTCATGATCTGGGATAATAGGAATTAAAAATAAACGTATGAGATGGAAGTTAGCCACTCCCCACTTAGGTAACTGGGTCAGCAAAGGCAGGAGAGAAATTAACAGCAGAATACTAAGATTCTAAATCCTTCCTGCTTTCTAACTCCTTATCGAGCCTTGGTATGTATTTTCCTACGCTTTTTGGCACATTTTTGCATCTACAGAGAATAAGGCTTCAAATTTGTGTTGGTTACCATATTTTTCAGGTTCGACAGTCTTTCTGTATTTTCGGCTCAAGAACTGAAGGTTAAGTTACCTGCATACTATCTAAAATTCTACTTTCTGTATTGAAATTGGTTTTATTATATCCATACTAGTATGAATGAGATATGCAGAAGCAGTAGTAAGAGAAGAGTGATGAAACAGGAAATCCGTTACTGGGGAAAAGTCAACAGATACATTATAATCTAAGGTTTTTATTTCAATAAGCTGCACATTAAAAACATTGTTAAAGCTAGAAGGTGAAGGCATTGAGGGAGAAAAAACTTTTTACTCCACAATTTTAAAGGAATTCATTTTTTCATAGGCATAAAACTGAAAACTCAGGAAAATTATTTTGAAGTTTTTATCACTGACAATTTCTGGAAAACATAAAGTTGACTTTATTTTCCCATAGAGGAGCAATGTTAAAATGTGGGATTATATTCCTGTACTAGGATTCAGCATGCAAATAAATAACTAGTCTAACCATCTATATGTCGTCAGTGCAAAAAAATTGTTAAAAACTACCATAAAAGTCTTACCAATTAAAAATATTATTTCCAGTTCTTCTACATTAGCAATAATCGTGCCTGGATAAACTTCTTTGGCTATGATGGATACTGTCACTGTGCAAAGCTTGTTCTTCTCAATAGACATAAATATAAGGCACTTTTAATTATAAAAGGCATTTCCAAAGGTACTATCAGGTACACACATAGTAAGAAAATGTAGAAGTACTTATATTTAAGTAATCTTACTCGTTGTCTTAGAATTCAGAATGTTGTTAGGGAAATAGACGGCACAAGACTCTTTACAGTTGTCCCAATATTTTAAAATGTTTTTCATATATTTTCCTGAAATAAGTAGAGGCATTCAGCTACCTCATTAATGCTAGAGGTATTTCTTGACAGAAAAGGTTTTTCAAAAGTTAAGACTTGACCTAATATCTGCTCTTCCCTTAATTTACTCAAAGCTAAAATTGTAGGGGCTGAGCATCAGACAAAAGGTAATTCTGCCCAGTGGGTTTTTTTTTTTTTTTTTTTTTTTTTTGCCTAGCTCTTATTGAACATACCGTTTAAATTACTTTTCCACTCTTGACAAAACTATAGACGAAGCTGCCTGGTCACTGGTGCAAACTTGAAAAAGACCTTAAAAGCACTTTGCCTTTTTTGTGTGGAGCTGGCCAGGAGGCATGAGGATAACCAGTTTGTTTACAGAGAGGAAGGTATTATATAAAGTCAATCTGAAATGCTACTCTTAGAAATCTAACTTGGCCACACGAAATAAATCACACCACTGTTTTCCTTTCACTACCTCCAGGTGGTTTTCTTGAACTAGTTTAAAGTACTGGTGTTTGGGAAATGGTGTTATCTAGAGATTTGAGGAACATCCCATTTATTAACAAGATGTAATTAAGGAAAAATCTCCTAATTAAAGGAAGCTGGTGGCACAAATATGTAGCAGTACTGCTGGAAAAATGCACCTAATATTTCACACTAACACATCATGATGGATACTTTGCCATAGCAATCTGAGATCCTAAGGCCTTCCTAACTAAGTTTATGCAGCAATCGGTTTATAAGAATACTTGCTCCAGTCTTTATTTACGCAGTGTTATTTTAGGAATTGCTTTGGATTAATCTTTGGTTTGGTACTCAGAGGTGTTAGTGTGGTCCTTGGAGCATCCTGTCCTGGGCACCAATTACGCCTTCTTTGCAGTCGTTGCCTCGCCCGGATTAAGCCCTCCACATACCACTGTTCCAGCTGCAGCTGCTGCTTCTGATTTTCTAACTGGCTTTTAGTAGCTTGCAACTCCCGGCACTGCTGAGTTTGCTGCAGTAACTTCTTCCGTAACTCCCGGTTCTCTCTCCTGATGCCACGGTAGAACTCAAAAGTATACTGCTTTGCTTCCAACTCCAAGGCCTGGGCCTTCCTGTCAAGCTCCTTTCTTTTCCTCTTTCCCACCTGCCCCATGTCTGGCTCACTCAGTTGTTTCTCTAGAAATGCTTTTTCCTGGAGTAACTGGACCTGGATTTCCTGTTTCTTGGCATCTGTCTCAGCTGGGGTTTTCTTTTTCTCGTCCTGTAATATCTGGATTTCTCTCTCCTGTTTCTCCTTTAACAGTGAAATTATCCTCAGTGTCTGCAACTGCTGCTTTAAGTTGCTTTGGATCTTTTCCTTCTGCAAAAGCTCCCCTTTAAACACTGAAGTTTGTTTCGCATATTTGGAGGCATAGTCTCGTCTCCTTTGTTCAATCTCCTGACTTTTTTGTAAATAGCTGTTCCACAGCTTTTCAGGCTGCATTCTATACTCTTCAGTTTTGTTGGTTAGATATTCCAGGAAGAATTTGTTTTCAGTCTGGACGAGTAACTTCTCAGCATATAGCTGCTTGGTTTCCTCCATTAGTGACTCTTGCTGGCTTTGAGCTTGTTTTATTTGGTTGTTCAGCTTTGTCATTTCCACCACTGCCTTTTCTTTAAACCTCATCTCTGACTTGCTTAGCTTCTCTGGCTTGAAAAAATCATTTATTAAACTAAGATTCGGTGGAGAGGAACTCCTAGAGTCCTTAGCAAACCTGAAGGAAGAACAAGTAAGACATTCCCCCATCAATTCTTTCTTTTTTTTCCTTAAGATTTTATTTATTCATTAGACACACACACGCACGCACGCACGCACGCACGCACGCAGAGAGAGAAGCAGGCTCCACGCAGGGAGCCTGACGTGAGACTCCATCCCGGGACTCGGGGATCGTGCCTGGAGCCAAAGGCAGACGCCCGCCGCTGAGCCACCCGGGCTGCCCCTCCCCATCAATTCTTAATGAAAGTTTAGTAAACACAAAATGCACAACTATACCTTAATTCACACGAGAAAATACTTTTTGAGTACCTATTACGGTTCTGTCACTACAGCTAGGGGTAAAGACGAATGAATGTGGCTTACAATTTGCAAGCACGCATTCACTACAACCCCCGTAAGGCATTCCGTCCGTTTTCGAGAGGAGGAAACAAGTTCAGAGAATTTAAATGACTTGGCCCGACACGCACCGCCCGCAGCGGCAGCGCGTGGGTGTGGAACCTAGATTTTAAGATTCACTGAACACTGCAGTAGCCACAAAGGGCGACGGGACCCGCTGAGGTGGGCGAGAGTAGCAATACATTTCCTGGCTTTTCCAGCCCCTTTCCGGTATCCGAGGACACTTCCGTGGAGGGAAAAGCGCCCCCTTCAGTACCTACTTGCTCCAGGAATCCGAGCGTCCGTCTCCAAGGTGACGGTGAGGTTCGCCGAGGGGGACCGCCAAGGAAGGAGCGCTCGTGTCAGGGGCCAGCGACGCGCGGACGCGGCGCCCCCTTGCGGAACGTCTTCGCAGTTTCTCGGTTCTGTGCTCCACGGGGGTCGGCGCCGCCCAGCAACCCCCGGGGTCGCACTCCGCCCCAGTCCCAGCCTGTCCAGCCCTGAGCTCCTGAACCTCGTCGGCTGCCGAGTAAGGCCCAGCAGCCAGTTCCCCGGCGGCTCCGTCCCCCGCTACTTGGGGGCGGAGGGAGAAGCGCACTCTCCTCATTTGCGACCTGGGGGCGCCCTGCCTTGGGGACCCCATCTCGTCTTGCCCTGCTGGGGACCAGAGCCTCGTCTCTCCCAGACCCTTGGTTACGTTACGGCGGTGAGCGCCTCTCTCCCGGGTCCTCCCCTGCCCTCCATTTCCCCGCCCCTGTCCCTGGCTGGCCCGGAGGCTAGGATGCTCTGGCGAGCGGCCCGCCCCTCCGCCTTCCCCGGCCGCGCCGCGGAGGCTCTAGCGTCTCTTGCGCCGCCCGCGGCGGCACGGAAGCCTCTCTAGGTACGCGGCGTCTCTATGGTAGAGCGGGCGGAGCCCGAGGAAGATGGCGGCGCCCGCGGAGGCCGCTGAGGAGCGGGCTTCGGGGGGTCCTCGGCCCCCAGTGTGTCTGTTGGTGTTAGGAATGGCGGGATCTGGGAAGACCACCTTTGTACAGGTGACGTACAGGGCGCGGGAGTAGGAGGTGCGCTCGAGAGGTTGTCGGTGGTGGGCGGAAGGCCAGGGGGACCTCGAGGACGGGCTCGGGAGTTGAAGGGGGTCCGCGTGTGGCTTTCAGGACCTCGCCAGCAACTCCGGTTCCGAGCCTTTTCGGACTCTAGCCTGGTTCAGTTAGGGCTCTCTTCTCCGCACCCTCAGTTCGTATTTGGTACAGCTTGCCACGTTGTTCTGGAATCGTCTTGCCGCTAAAACTGCCGCCTCCTGGAAGGCGGGGGCTCCCACGTAACCGGCAGTTAGGACGGTGCTGGCGCCCAGGCTTCGGGTGGGGATTACTACGGTGCTGTTTCTTGCGCAGCTCTTCCGTTTCGAGCGCTGGAGATGCAGCGATTGAAGTTGACAAGGTTCCCGCTTTATCGGAGCTAATGTTTCAACGGGAGTGATGGGGAAAAACCTCACACGAATCAAGTAATTAAGTGATCGACAGACAATAGGGGAGGCCCTGTTGGAGGGATGATCAAGAAAAGAAAGCATTTCACCTGAGAGTTGAATGTTGGAGGCGGATATTGGGGACGAGTGTTTCAGGTAGAGGGAGGGACACGTAAGTGCAGAAGTCTTCAGCTGTGATCCATAAAGGGATCTTGGCCCCTTATCATTCCCTCGGTCTCACTCCATCGCTCTTTCGCGTCTCTGCAGAGGCTTACTGGACATCTGCATAGCCGAGGCTCTCCACCTTATGTGATTAATCTGGACCCGGCTGTACATGAAGTACCCTTTCCTGCCAATATTGGTGAGTAAACTGGAACAGAACTCTGAAGTTCTTCAGAAAACCAAAAGCCTCCAGCTCGGCCAATCTCTAATGCTTTCATTTTTCGTTTTCTCTAAACTATCTTTCATTTTCCTTGAATTTCCTAAAAATTCTAAACAATTTTCTTTGTTGACTCCTTTCCCTAAGTATATTAGTTTCCTTACCTCTCACTCTCATGTCTCCCCTCTTTCTGATCCGAGGGTGTCAGGCTACTGTTGTTTCATTTGTATTTTTTAAACATCTTATTTCTTGGACAGCCCGGGTGGCTCAGCGGTTTAGCGCCGCCTTCAATCCAGGGCGTGACCCTGGAGACCGGAGATGGAGTCTCCCGGACCCAGGCGAGCTCCGCTTATGGAGCCTGCTTCTCCCTCTGCCTGTGTCTCTGCCTCTCTCTCTCTGTGTGTCACTCGTGAATACATAAATAAAATCTTTAAAAAAAAAAAAAAAGATTTTCTTCCTTCATGAGAGAGAGAGAGGCAGAGACACGGGCATATACATAGATATGCATATATGCATTGTTTTGGGGAAAGGTTTCCGGTTATCATCAGACTTCCAGAGAAATCTGTGACTCTGACAGAAATTAAGGGTGAATATGATGCACTGTCATGATTCTTGATTGAATCTAGGAGCCTGGGATCCTTGGGTGGCTCAGCGGTTTAGTGCCTGCCTTTGGCCCAGGGCATGATCCTGGAGTCCCGGGATCGAGTCCCATATCAGGCTACCTGCATGGAGCCTGCTTCTCCATCTGCCTGTGTCTCTGCCTCTCTGTCTCTGTGTCTCTCATGAATAAATAAATAAAATCTTGAAAAAAAAAGAAAAGAATCTAGGAACTTCCTGATTTTCAGGCTGTCGCTGTGCTAATCCTCTCATTTTTTGTCTCTTAATTCTGCTAAGCTACTTGGACCCTAATCATACTAATAAAGGAAAATCTTGTTCAGGAGCCAGAGGTCATTTTGGGAAGTTGGGGAAGAAGTTAATATCTTCTTGCTTAAAGGATGGACTTCTACCTGATGATAGATGACTAGATAAGAAGATATAGATATGTGTGTGTATATATATATATGACTGGATAAGAAGATATATATATTTGTAAATAATATATATATAAATATATGGTTTTTTGTAAAATTACTCAGCCATAAAAAAGAATGAAATCTTACCATTTGGGACTACATGGATGGACCTAGAGGATGTTATGCTAAGTGAAATAAGCCAAGACAGAGAAAGACAAATACCTTATGATTTCACTTATATGTGGAATCTAAAAAACAAAACAAAGCAGAAACAGACTCACAGATATAAGAAACAAACTGTTGGTTACCAGAGCAGGGAGGAGCTGGGAGTGAGTGAAATAGGTGAAGGGGATTAAGAGGTACAAACGTCCAGGTACACACTAAGTCATAGGGATATAACTTATAGATTAGGGAATAGAATTAATACTATAATAACTTTGTATGATGACACATGGTAACTAGACTTGTGGAGATCATTTTGAAATTTATAAAAATATTGAATCAATATGATGTAAACCTGAAACTAGTAAGATACTATATGTCAGTTACACCTAAATTTTAAAAAAGATGGAATTCAAATAGTTGGTAGAGTCTGTAGGCTGGTAGACAGGTTTAGTTAGATATTACTGGATGCATTAATTCCCTTTGAAAAATCAGGTCTGCATTACCCCTTGCTACCAGTAGGCAGTTAGTAAGAAATAAACGTTTTTTCTTGATTTAGCTCCCTTTTTCTTTGTGTGTGATCACTGATAAGGTCCTTAAGTGGTATAAAACTTTTCCCCTGGGGCTCCTGGGTGGCTCAGTGGTTTAGTGTCTGCCTTCATACTCAGGGCATGATCCCAGAGTCCTGGGATCGAGTTCCACATCTGGCTCCCCTTAGGGAGCCTGCTTCTCCTTCTGCCTATGTCTCTGCTGCTCTCTCTGTCTCTCTCATGAATAAATGAATAAAATCTTAAAGAAAATCTTACAGAAGAAAAAAAGACTCAACTTGGCTACATTACTTAAACACACACACACACACACAGGGCAGCCCAGGTGGCTCAGTGGTTTAGCGCCACCTTTAGCTTTAGCCCAGGGCCTGATCCTGGAGACCTAGGATCAAGTACCACGTCAGGCTCCTGCATGAAACCTGCTTCTCCCTCTGCCCCTCCCTCTGCCTCTCTCTCTCTCTCTCTCTCTCTCTTTTTCTCTCTCGTTAATGAATAAATAAAATCTTAAACACACACACACACAAAACTTCTCTCCTTGTCTCAGACCGTTTCTACCATAACTTCTGAGCCCCTAGCCTAACATTTTTCATGGATTGCTTGCCACTTACCAAGTAAGGAAGGAAACCAATGTGAAGCTGGGGGGATTAGTAGAAGAGAATGCAGACAAGAGAAGCCTGAAAGGCTGGTTTCAGCTTCTTGTTGGTAGGAAGATACTTGCAGGGCACTTTCTGCCTTTCTGTTCTTCTCTTCACGATCTTGCTTTTTTCTGTATCACAGTTCAATGACCTTAGCTTAAAACTTTAGAAAATAGACTTGAAAAGTACCTGAGATACCAGGAGAGAAACTTACTTTTGTTTTCCTCAGAGGAAGCAGAGATGATTGGCGAGGCCCATTGTCTAAGGATGTTATAGGTGGAGTGTCTCAAACTATATTGTTTCTATGTGGGTTTTTTTTTTTGTAAGATTTTTTTAAGATTATTACTTATTTATTCATGATACACACACACACACACACACACACACACAGACAGGCAGAGACACATGCAGAGGGAGAAGCAAGAGAAAGGAGCACGACGTGGGACTCGATCTGGGACCTGAGTATCACGTCTGGGCCGAAGGCAGGCGCTAAACCGCTGAGCCACCCAGGGATTCCCTTGTTTCTATGTGTTAAATTCCATTGAATTTCCCCCCCCCCACCCTCCCAGATATTCGTGACACTGTGAAGTATAAAGAAGTCATGAAACAGTATCCTTTTCTGCATCTACTTCATTGAGTCATCCCTAGCTAGTTACTGTCTGTATTTTGTGGCTTTGAGAGTATTCTGCATTTTCTTTCTGAAATATACTAGCAATAGCATTTAATTGCTTTAAAGTAATTTACTTAAGAGGATAGAAAGATGAGTGAGGAGAGGTATTATAGGTGATTAGACTATTACACCTTGTGGTTTCAGTTTTCTTACCATCTTTCTAGACTATGGGCTGTTGTAATTAGAAGCACCCAGAGTGGGAGGCTGGGTAGCTGGTGCCATACCTTGCTTCCACAAAGTAGTATTGCCCTGGAGGCCACTGCCTCCTCTGATTGGGAGACTCAAAGGAGTAGGTTTATTTAAGAGCATTGAGTGTTAGTACATGCTGTATGAAATGTGTACTTTCCTTGCAGGTAGCTCTAGCTGGGTAGACCAATTATAATCAGCAGGTTGACCAGTGAGGATCAGAGCAAGGAGTGTGATATCTTCAGTGATAGTTTAAGATCTTAGTGTCTAATACCATTAAGCTGTCAGTGCCAAGTGCATCTGTCTGTTAGATTTTGGTCACTTTAATCTCTTCATTTTGCCTAGGCATCCCCAGAATGATAAAGGAATGAGGAAGATGTTGATAATGAAAATTCCTTGTGAGGTTAAGTTTGTGTGGTATATACTAGTCAAGGATTAGCTGCCAGTTTCCATTTGTGGAACACTAATGTTACGGTGCTATGTGTGTGAATAATATCCTAAGTGTGAGTTTCATCACCTAAATTGATCTGTAAGTAATTTAAATCCTCAACTTGGTGTCCAGGTATGGGCTTGGGCCCAATGGTGGTATAGTGACCTCACTCAATCTCTTTGCTACCAGATTTGATCAGGTATGTCTGTTTTTACTTTTATAGACATGAATGCGTAAAAACCTACGACTTTTTTTTTTTTAAAACCGATGACAGACTTAATTTTTTAAAGATTTATTTATTTATTTATAATAGACCTAGAGAGAGAGAGAGAGAGAGAGAGAGAGGCAGAGACACAGGAGTAGGGAGAAGCAGGCGCCATGCCGGGAGCCCGACGTGGGACTCCATCCTGGGACTCCAGGATCGCGCCCTGGGCCAAAGGCAGGCGCCAAACCGCTGAGCCACCCAGGGATCCCCAAAAACCTCTGACTTTTGAATGCTTGGCTTGCTCACATTGGGAAAGAAGAGCAATAAACCTGGATATACATATGGAAAATAAGTAAACATTTTGATAGACAGAGAAGTAAGTTATGACAGGATAATCAGTATTGTGAGACACTTCACATTTAACATTTGTGATGGCCAGTAAAACAAAAATCTAGGTTCTTTTCTTGATCTTGGCTTATACTGTCACCTTGAGGATGGAGTGGAGGATTGGGGAGTGGGAGGGGCTAGCAGGCATGGAATGGAAAGATAATGGGGCTTTTTTACATGTGACAGATAATTGTCACTGTTTAGGTTTTTCTCCTACTTCTACAAGAGTGTTTTGTAATCATGAATTTTTTACCCTCATGTCACTCCAAGAGACAGGCTGTTAAACATTTTATACCAAAGTACTAAGAGATATGACCCGAAAGTGAGAGATCGTCTTCAGCTTCTCAGGACCCTGCAGTACACTCTGGGGTGTGTCAGTGCTGCTGATGTGACTGTGTTTCCTTAGTTCATGGAGTTTATTAGTTGGTGTCCTAAGACTGAGAACAGAGATTCAGTAGTTGATAGTTGCCTATAAGGTGGGCCACCCTGGAAACGGTGATTTTTGTATTGAAGATGGATCCTGTTTTTAATTGGCATCTTTTTTCTTTCAGGTGATGAAATTTATTGAGAAGGCCCAGAACATGTCTAAGTAAGTGCTTTTGGCCTAACACCTGTTTATTACACTGTAGTTGCCGTGTCTCAAGGATTTCAGGATACCATCGGGCTCTGAAAGGGTGTAGATTGAGATGAAACCATTAGAAGTGAAACAAAAAGGTGGGCAAAAGAAATCATTAAGATGCTCTACAGTGATGAGCTAAATTCAATAGTATCCTACCCCCAATCACTGTCATATATGCCCATGGCTTCCTAGGAGGTGTTTTAAGACTTTGTCCAAATTCAGTTGTCTCCCTACCTTCTCTTGGGAAAACACATTTGTTGGCATTAAAATCTCTGAAGTACCTTTCTAACCCTTGTTTAAAAATAAATCATAAGGGGCGCCTGGGTAGCTCGGTGGTTGGGTGTCTGTCTTTGACTCAGGTCGTGACCCCAGGGTTCTGGGATTGAGTCCTGCATCGGGTTCCCTGCAGGGAGCCTGCTTCTCCCTTTGTTTATGTCTCTGTGTCTCTCATGAATAAATAAATAAAATCTTAAAAAAAAATAAAAGGAAAAAAAAAGACTATATGCTCATTATAGAGAATTCAAAACCTTCCTTCGACGCCCCCCACCACGACCCCAAGAAACCTTGGTTCCCCAAGAGATTTGCCTTCTGGTTTTGTTTATCTCTTATTTTTAACACAGTGTGTTTCTAATATGATCATAGTTTCTTCTGTGATCATTTGCAGCAATTTGTGGACTGCTACTCCTGCCTGGTATCATGAATACTGGACAGGTAGTATACGTTTTAAGGGTAGTGGGAGGAAGTTAGAGTTGACAGTGTGAAGAGGTTATTCCTTCTTGGATAAGCAGATGTTCAGTGTTACGTGTGCTGGAATATCTTTCAGTATTTCACAGGTGTGATACTTCTCGAATGGTTGTTCTTGATACAGATATGTCTTGCTTGACACACCTGGACAGATTGAGGTTTTCACGTGGTCGGCTTCTGGGACAATCATTACTGAAGCCCTGGTGAGTATTCGAGGACTTGTTAGACTGACTAACTAGAGCGCTAAACTGGTTAAGCATCTTTTTATTGAGTGGGATGCCATATGGGAAGTTAGTTGTGGAAGCTCTTGGCACCCTGCCTAAAGTGGTTTTCCCTTGCTAAGGAAGGTGGGAAAAGAGTTTGGAGATAGGTCATGAGTCCTTTGACTAAGGCTGTGATTATTTTGTGGCTTTAGGCATCCTCATTTCCCACAGTTGTCATATACGTCATGGATACATCAAGAAGTACCAATCCAGTGACCTTCATGTCCAATATGCTCTATGCCTGCAGGTAATGAATTGTTGGTGGGCCATGGTATTACATCAAGGTAGGAGGCCTCCTCTTTTCTTTTTTATATTTGAGTCCTGAGTGCTTACCAACCTGGATTTGTGCTCATTCAGATGTGCCCCTCAGTTTAGTAGTTGTGAGCTGGGGAGAGATTAGAAGAGAAAAGAGGCATATGTGTTAGCATTCTCTTTGACCAGCTTCTCATCTCCCCCCTTTGCTTGTTACAGAAACAGGTACTGTATGAATATGAACCTTTTGGTAGTCGCTCGCAGTTGAATGAAACAAGTCTAAATAGAATAGAGCCCTCTGATATAAATGTTCCTTTTCTGTGTTATGACATGTAGACTTAAATTATAAAATGAGAGATTGTGAATAAAGAGATTTATCTATAATTCCAAAAAGCACAAGTTTGCCCCAACTTGGTGTCTGTCATTAAGGACAGAGAGACATGCCTTACTAGGGTATGTGAGTGCATTCGACATAGAGCAAGGGAAATTATTATGAAATTTGAGAGAATTTTATTTGGTGGATACACAAAAACCATCACCAGCATTTGTGCCTTCTCCTATGACTAGGGATATACCTTCTTGGTAGATGCAATAAATTGTAGTCCAAATAGAAATCTGACGTCTGACAGCGTTGTTTCCGTATATATTGTTTAAAAGAGACCATTATTTGGTAGAAACAACCAGACAAAAAACCCATACACAGAAAACCAGATGAATATCAAAGCATTATTACTCCAAGAAAGAAAGAGAACGTATGTGTGTTGTTTGCTTAATGGTAGCGGTGAAGTCCCTCTTCCTCTTGGGAGAGTAGAATGTGAGGGCTGTGTCAGGATGGATAGCTGTATGTAGCGTCTGAACCCATTCCAGTTCTCGTTACTCGGTTCTAGCAGACTGACAATTGGGTAAGCAAGAGCTTAAGTGCTTTCACTGATAATGTCTTGATGTTTGATTTTCAGCATCTTGTACAAAACCAAGCTGCCTTTCATTGTGGTTATGAATAAAGTAAGTGGTTCCTTCCTTTTGTGGTTTAGTATTTCTTTTTCATCAGAACCTTGTGTTATTGGAAGGTTTAGGGGTTTGGGTAGGTGAGGATTTTCACATGTCGGAGAATAGATTCAAACTTAACTGAAACAAAGTCATGAGCATTTGTAGGAAAAAGATTCAGTCGAATTAAATGAATATTTATTACTGGCTCTCCTCAGAGTAATTTAAAACTGGATAGAGTAGCCCCTCAATCATAGTGTATAGGTTATTCCTCAGAATCACAACTATGTATATGGGGGAGGGACTGCTTGTTTATTGGCAGAGCAATTAAAACAGAAAACTTCACTTTTCTTGAGTCGACAGCAAGGATTCAAGAGAGTATATGACTTCAGAGCCTAGTATGTGCTGGCATCTACTGTGGTCATGGTCACTTGGCAGTGGATAGTAAAGGGTTGGCTTCAACCAAGAGAACACATATGTTCATTTGTTTACAGTATCCGTGGTCCTTTATGGTTTGTTGTAGTGGAGGAGGAAATGGGGGAAGCAGAGAAAAAAAAATAAGAATAATTGCTTTGTGGTTGGCATTTAATTAAAAAGTTTTTGACGTTGTTTGGTATCTAAACACACCTCTGATTGCTGATAATTGTCTTCTGTTTGGTACAGACTGACATCATTGATCACAGCTTTGCAGTGGAATGGATGCAAGATTTTGAAGCTTTCCAAGATGCCTTGAATCAAGAGACTACATATGTCAGTAACCTGACTCGTTCAATGAGCCTGGTGTTGGATGAGTTTTACAGCTCACTTAGGGTAAACTTTCTCCTCTGCTTATACTGACAGTCCCTTCAGACATCCTCTTAACCATAGGGCTGGCGTTGAGCCTATCTTAGAAAAGAAGTTTGGTATTTTCACAAAGCATTTAAAGGATTACTTATTAAAAATTGGAGGTTTTCCCACCTCTTCTTTTACATGTTGCTGTCCAGTTTTAAAACTGGAAGTTTAAGAGATAAAGTAGAGGTGGCTGGCTATTTTTTTTTTTTAAAGATTCTATTTATTTATTTGAGAGAGAGAGAATAAGCGCCCATGAGCAGGGGGAAGGGCAGAGGGAGAAGGAGAAGCCAGCTCCCTGCCGAACAGGGAGCCCGACATGGGCCTCTATCCCAGGACCCTGAGATCATGACCTGAGCCGAAGGCAGATGCCCAAACTATTGAGCCAACCAGGTACCCCATGGCTGGCTCTTAATCTCAGGGTCATGAGTTCGAGCCCCTCATTGGGAGATTACTTCAAAAAAAAAAAAAAAAAAAGAAGATAAAGAAGATAAAGACCCTACCTTCAGAGTTTATGATCTAGTTCAAAGGGAAGGCTACATACAGAATTGAAACATAATATATTGTGGTAAGGATCTTACTAAGATTGGAGGTTGGGCCTGATGCTGCTGAGGGGCAGATCACTCTTGAAATGAGGCATTTTGGAGGATATAGCATTAGAGGTATGCTTTGAAGGAAAGGTATGATTTACATAAGCAAATGTGAGTCGGGATGGCAGGGAGGATGGTAATTGCTCAAGCAAAGGCATTGAGATACTAATTTTTTTTTAAAAGATTTTATTTATTTGAGAGAAAGAGTGAGGGAGAACATGAGCAAGGGAAGGGGCAGGAGAGGGAGAAGCAGACTCCCTCCTGTGCAAGGAGCCTAATGCTGGGCTCCATCCCAGGATCTTGGACCATGACCCGAGCCAAAGGCAGACACTGAACCGACTGAGCCACCCAGGCACCAGAGATAGTTAATTTTTATAGAGAACAAGCAGTGGTTAGATTTGACAGGGAATAGATGAGAAGCCTCGTTGTGTGTTTCTCCTAATTTTCTTTTTATCCAGTCTTCTCTTTTCCATAAACTTCTTTCCATGGCTTTTGAGTATGTGTGCTGTTTTGTTTTAGCTTCACCCTTTGCCAGAGACTTCTTGAGGTATCTAAACTTCTTTCATGAAGATTTTATGACATTTGAATAAGGTAATATATACAGCATTTAAAAATACACAGTTGTTTGCTCAGTGGCATTGATGCTTTTGGCAGGTGGTGGGTGTGTCTGCTGTTCTGGGTACAGGCTTAGATGAACTCTTCGTGCAAGTCACCAGTGCTGCAGAAGAATATGAAAGGTGAGGATGAAGGAAAAATCCTCTTGATGACATTTTTAGTAACCCACAGTCTGATACGATAGCGTTTTGCCAGGCAAAGCATTTGGGTTTCACAGTGTAGGTATTACATTTGTCATTTGGATGTGTACGGGATCTGTGTGTGTACACTTAGGGATAAGAAGTCTCCATTAACCTTCTTTAAACATAGTGTACAACTTTCACTGTATTTAGTGATTAAGAGCAAGAGTGTTCAGACTTTTTATTTTTTGTTTTATTTTTAAAAAAATTTTTAAGAGATCTTATTTACTTATTTGACAGCACAAGCAGGGGAGGCTGCAGGCAGAGAGGGAGCGAGAGAAGCAGGCTCCCCGCTGATTAGGGAGCCCAATGCAGGGCTGGTCCTGGATCCCAGGACCCTGGGATCATGACCTGAGCTGAAGGCAGATGCTTAACGGACAGAGCCATACGGGCGCCCCACACATTTTTTTTGTAAAAAGCCAGATTGTAAATATTTCAGGCTTTTGTAGGCCTTACGATCTTTGTTGCAACTCTCAACTGTCATTGTAGGGCGAAAGCATCCGTAAACAATTTGCAAACGAATGGGCATGGCTGTGTCCTAATAAAATTTATTTACAAAAATAGGCATGATTTGGCCTGTTTGCCACATTGGCTGACCCTGGATTAAGAACATAGCCTGTGGAGTCAGACAGACATGGGTTGGATTTCTGTTTTCTCCACTGAATAAATGGGTGGCCTTAGCAGGTTTTCATCATTTGTACATCAGGGATAGTAGCATTTTATTGTTAAGGTTGTGAGCGTTATTTGAGAAAATACATCTGAAGCACCTAGTATAATTGCTGACTGCTGACACATAGCGAGCACATTTCACGATAAATGATTGTTGTTACTGTTATCATCGTTAATACTGGAATTTGTTTACTTAAAGGAAAATGTAATCCGAACGCTTTCCTTGGGGGGTGGCATGATAATTAGCTTCCTTTGGCTTCATTTGTTAGCAAGATTCTAACAACCACATGGTGATTTTTAGACACATTATTTTGATTTTGATTCATCAGAGAAGGGGTCTTTCTGTGTGTTACCAAAGCCTCAGGACAGACCCTTCTGTATCCTTTTGTTGTCGCCCAGATAAGCCACATAATTACACATTGAGCTTCCTGAGCCCAACGGGCCTACCTTCTTTTATTCATTCATCACTGTGTTTATCCAAACAAATGATGAGCTCATCAGACATGAACTCCGCAGAGTTCATCTTTCCAGGCCAGCAGTTTTTTGTCTCTTTGCTGGTTTCAGAGTGGGGACAAGCACTTTGACTTTTAATTCCATAGGTATATAGAATATCAGTGACTAAGACTTGTTCCATCTAACATTCAGTAAAGTAAGGTCTTCTGTTATTGTCAGAGCCCTAGGAACATGGAAATGATGTGGAGGCGGGTAGGACAGATTATTAAACACAGGAATTTAGAAAGTGTTTTCTCTCTCCAGGGAGTATCGTCCTGAATATGAACGTCTGAAGAAGTCACTGGTAAGAGAGGAGGCTATGTGTATGTTTTGGGCCACTAAAAAAGAACTTTAAACCATGCACTAATCCTCCTGCCATAAATACTTTTTTGGGGGCTATCAGTGTACGTTCTACGTGTTTGTTATTTTAAATTAGTAAACCTGTATGTGTGCTGTCTAGATGCAGGAGGGCCCCTTAATTGTTTTTCTTCTCTTTATTTGAATTTCTTAAAGTCTGATTTTTCCTGTTAGATGCGCTAAGCACTTCTTGGGCCCCACCCCACTCCTACTCTAAGCTGCATTTAAGAGCTGGTTATAGAATTTTAAGAAAAAAGTGGTTCACAGTGCTTATTCCAAATAATCGCTTGGCCTGCCCCCTTCAGCTCCATTGGGCCCCTTATCACTGCTGTGTGCTTGACGTTTCTTTTGATGGGTTCTTGTGTCTAACTTCTGCAACCCCTAATTCATTCTGCAGAGCCCTCCAGTCTGAACTTGTGCTATCTTGATCCACACTGCTTGGTGTTTCTGTATCTGCTATCTCTTACCTGCCTCAATGTCTAAATAGCCTCTAGTGTTTGTGTGTATACTTAGTCATCTCCAGTTACAAGTCTGGCATCTAATTCAGGGCTCCTATTTTTTTTTTCCCTAAAGATTTTATTTGACTTATATTTATTTTGTAGAGAGAGAGGGTGTTACCTGGGTGGGGAGGGTGCGGAGGGAGGGAGAATCTGAAGCAGGCTCCATGCTCAGCGACACAGATCATGACCTGAGCCGCAATTAAGAGTTAGATGCTTAACGGACTGAGCCACCCAGGCACCCCTAGGACTCCTTTTTTAATATGAAGATATTTTTCTTTGTGTGTACAGGCCAATGCAGAGAGCCAGCAGCAGAAGGAACAACTGGAACGCCTTCGGAAAGATATGGGCTCTGTAGCCTTGGACACAGGGACTGCCACAGGTACTGGAGGGTCTCCTCTCCTGGTGTTAGGAACTGAAAGGATGATATGCGTATTTCCACCGAGCAGGAAGATACTTCTGTTTAAGAGCGAGAAAAGGATAAAAATAATGTGTTTGAGATTGATCAATGTATTTATTTATCTATTCTACCGCTTTTGCTTTGTGTGTGATTTGCAAAGGTAAACTGGACGTTGTGTTTAACTATACCACTTTGAGTTCTTCCTCTTCAGGTAGGTTTTGCTTTACTTCAGCTAGATACTTGATGTCTTCTCTATTTTCTTAAACACTTTACAAAAAACCTAAATTAGTTAACATACAGTGTATTAGGAAGTTGAGGGTAGAGTTTAGTGGTTCATCAGTTGCATAATAGCACCCAGTGCTTATCACATCAAGTGCCCTCCTTAACGCCTGTCCCCCAGTTACCCCATCCCCCCACTCAGTTTTCTTAAATACGTTTTTTGCCTTCCACTCTCCTCCCTTGTTTCCTGTTTATTTTGACCTACTTTCAGATTAACAGAAAAATTGCGTGGCTAGTAGAATTATTACTAGGTAGCATTCAACCAGATTCACAAAATGTCAACGTTTTACCACGTTGCTTCATTGTCTTCTTCTCATGATGTATGACTTTGTATATAAGTATACATTTGTAAACAAAACATGTTCCTTTTTTCAGAGTCCTGTAAGTTACACACTTCTTATTTTTCAATATTATCCTTGATACTTCTGTCTGTATTTCCTAAAACAAGGATATTTTATATAAGCTCATTACTAGAAATTAGGAAATGAACACTGCTACTGTCGTGTAGTGTGTAATCCTTATTTAGGTGTAGCTATTTGCCCTGTACAGCAGGTGAAAATCCTGGATCTGCATTGCATTGAGTTGTCTTGTCTCTCTCTCCTTTAATCTGGAATGTTTCTTTAGTCTTTGATTTAATTTTTATTTATTTTTGATAGTCGCACACACACACACAGAGAGAGAGAGAGAGAGAGAGAGAGAGAGAGAGGCAGAGACACAGGCAGAGGGAGAAGCAGGCTCCATGCACCGGGAGCCCGATGTGGGATTCGATCCTGGGTCTCCAGGATCGCGCCCTGGGCCAAAGGCAGGCATCAAATCGCTGCACCATCAGGGATCCCATGTTCTTAAATTTTTTTAAAGATTATTTATTTGAGAAAGCGCATAAGGTGGGAGTGGCAGAGCGGGAGGGAGAGGAAGAAAGAATTGGAAGCTGATGTCTGGGTGGCTCAGTCGGTTGAGCGCCCGATTCTTGGTTTCAGCTCAGTTTATGAACTCAACACAGAGTGAGGAGCCCAGTGTGGAGCTTGAGCCCATGACCCATGAGATCATAACCTGAGCTGAAACCAACAATCGGGCGCTCCACTGACTGAGCCACGCAGGCGCCCCTGTATTTTCTTATTGTTTGAATTCATTTTGTCATTGATTCTTAGGGGTTTCTAGATTGGCGCTCATATTTAGTATGTATGCACCCCCACCCATCCACACTTATGGATGGACTGACCTTTAAAGGAATGAAGTTCTACTCACGAAAGCTGTTGCTGTATCTTCGATAGTCCATGCAAAGCAGCTTGGAGGGGGAGATGCTGGACTGTGGCTGGGTTTACCAGTTAAGTGAACTGGCCTGGCCATCCTTGTACACCTCAGCGACATAAACACCTGTGTGCTGCGCTCCTTTAAATCACTCAAGAATATGTGAAGCAAAGCAGCCCGGGTGGCTCAGCGGTTGAGCCGATGAGCCCAGGGCATGATCCTGGAGACCTGGGATCTAGTCCCATGTCAGGCTCCCTCCATGGAGCCTGCTTTTCCCTCTGCCTGTGTCTCTGCCCGTCTCTCTCTCTCTCTCTGTCTGTCTCTCTGTGTGTGTGTGTCTCTCATGAATAAATAAATTAAAAATCTTTAAAAAATATGTGAAGCAGTAAGTGTTCAATCTGCTGCAAAAGGTCTTTCACAGTCAGATAACCTGTTAAAGTTGAAGACTTGCAGTAAATTATTGGGGGAACATCCCAAGTATAGTTAGGCACCGACTGAAGCTCTGACTGTTAACACGCCATGCCACCATCCGTCTTCAGGGCCGCAGGGCCCCAGAGATCTGTGTCTCTTGCTGTTGTCACTGTCGGCCTCCTCAGTCCCCAGGTGACTTTTCTCTGACGAGGCTCCTGAAGGCTCTAGGATATGTGGCATCATGGAGGTTCTTGTAAAGCCCAACCCTCGCAGGCTGAATTCGACTTTGCTTGGCACTTAGCCCTCGTTGAGTTTCTCGGAGTAGGAAATTAGTCTCTAAGAGTAGATTCAGTTTCCCATTTTCCTCCTTCCCTCTTTCTCTTGAAAAATATCCGGGCTCCTTTGCTGCCTGCCATTTCACCATCTGTTCTCTTCAGACCCTCAGAACTTAAATTTCCATCTGGATCTTCCTTTACCCTGACTCCCCAGCACACTGCATCTGCTCACATGTCCTTAGTCTTCATAAGAAAAACTATAGCCTCTTCTAGCAGCTAGTAAGAATGAAAGAGGG